CGTGGCTGTCCATCGACAGGAATGGGCATCCAGGCCCAAACGGGCAAACCTCCCTGGGGCGCGTGAGATCCTGGGCCACCGTTGCCCCGCGATTAACTGGATAAGGAGCTACGCCGGGGTGCTCTTGGAATTCAGAGAACTCCGACTGGCGCACCGTGCGTCCCCTGTATTGTTCCGTTTCCCCGGTAACTAATGGCGTAGGAACGGGAGAGTTGAAGGAGGGAGGAGGAGGAGGAGGAGGAGGAGGGGGAGGAGGAGGCACTGACCTCCACAAGACCCCCGCCAGGGCGTCGGATGTACGGTATGCCTGGGCCCCAGGTGGTATCCGCGGTCCCCGAGGTCGAGGGAAATCGGTCCCCCAAGCGGTGGGAATGGACCCAGACATCCGACGATCTGACTTCTGCAACCCTGGCGCTTCTCTTCGATCGGGGCCCGTAATTGGGCCCTGGGGCTATCAAACATGGATCTGGGACGACACGATGTCCCTGGGAAGCGGCCGGGACCTCTGGAACCGCAATGAAATATCATGTCGTCAGACGTCTGGGTGCATAGTCGAGCTACTATCACAAGGAGCGCCGGGGAAATCAGCAGAGCCTCTCTTTGCCCGCAGAAGCGCCTGGGCGCACGAAGTGCCTAGAGGAGCCGCGATGGAATGGCCCCGTCCGAAATTACCAGGGCTGTCCCCTATCTCAGCGTCTGGACTGTGAACCCCAGCCTCGGGGATGGGCTGGCAGAGACCGTGTGCTGCGACGCCACGATCCAGGGAGTCTGCTCGAAGAAGCTGGCGGCGAAGTTGTGCCCAGCGACCACGAGGAGGAGGAGGAGGAGGAGGAGGAGGAGGAGGAGACGAGGAATGGGAGGAGGCAGGGAGGAAGAAAGTTGCAGAGATCCAGTGAAATTCCCCGAAACTCTCGACCCGTTCCCCTGTCCCAGAGTATTTCTTGATCTGTCTCAGGAGCTGGCGAGTGCCCCCAGAGGCAAACAAAAACAGCGGCACCATCAGTTTTGCATGCTTGTTTCCACACGTTGGCGGTCTGGGCCCAGCGCGACCAGGAGGTGGTCGGACTTGCGGCGATCGTAGAGGTCGGTCCTGTTTTGGGAGCGGCTGGGGGATCTGCAACTGATGGGCCCCGAGTACAACAGTCGCGTCCAGCCGTGGAGACGAGAAAGCCTCCAAGAGGTCCAAGTCGTTCCCCCCCTCTCTGCTGGCCAGAAACATGTCGTGGGGCACCTCAAGCCCCAGGCCGACTTCACGTCGGTCCTGGTGATGGTTCCGATCAAGCGCTGGGCGTCGTACCCAGCGCACACCTCGACGTCGCCGATGAGGCCGTGCCGCTCGGCCAGGTCGAACGTCGCCACTGGCATGACGATGATCAACGCATCGGAAGGGCTCCACACCCGCCACGGATGCGTCTGGAGGGACTGGATGAACGAGAACTCCTGCATCCCCCTGCTGACACACCGCCAAAATACATCCGCATTCACCGTCTACCGGAGTCTCGAGCCGGACGACAGGGGGGATTGCAAAAGGGGGGGTCAGCGAATAAGCTCACGTAGCCGAGTTTCCCAGGGCTCCCCAGCGCCAGAGGCGAACACGTGAACATCCATTAGAGGAAGACACAACCACGTAAGCATTAACGTTCGGAGATCCACGCTGATTTCATGGATCGGCGCTGAACCCGAGGGGGGTGGGAAGTGAGAAGTTCCCTGTGTCTTCGGGAAGGCTTGGGGAACTTCTCAGAGGGCCGGTGGGCTTCCGAGCCTTCTGAGAAGGCCCGCCCCTTCTCACGTTCCCCAAGCCGACCAGCCATAACTGGGGGAGCTGTGGTCCTTACCCCTCTGGGGGAACCCATCGCGTCGACGATCTATCGAGAGGGGTGTCGAAATCGATGGGTCCCCCAGGGGGGTAAGGACCACAGCTCCCCTAGTTGTGGCTGGCCTGCCAAGGCGCGCCTCCGAACTTTGTCCCCGATCCATATCCACCGCGTTTCGAAGTCGGGCCCCGCCGCCTCGAAGGCCTCTCGAGGCGACCACTCCCGCTTGGCGGCGCGCCCAGGGGAGTAGGGGTGATGGGCCTGTCTTCCACCACCACCGCCATAAGTTGGAGGGGGGAAGGAGGTGGAGGACGAGGAGGAGGAGGAGGCGGAGGAGGAGGAGGACCCCCGCCCCCTCCAACTTGCGGTGGTGGTGGTGGAAAACAAGCCCATCAAGGGGAAGGGCGGCGAGAAGAGGAGGGGAAGAGACACCGCAAGCCGTGAAGGGCTGCCGCAAGGCCCTTAGAGAAGGGCGGGGAGGAGGGGAAAGACACCAGAGGAACAGGCATTAAGGAGAGGACAGCGAGGCCGGCGCCCTCTAACTCTGAGAAGCAGGGGTGCTTCTAGCCCTCCCCCTACCCCCCTCTGCGCGTGGCCGACCCACACCAGATCCGGGGCAGGACACCATCAGTCGTGGACGTGGGTGTTTTCTGGCGGTGCAGCTGAGCTCGAAGTACGTGGAGAAATTGGCGGCACACTCGGCGAGCCTGAGGCAGAGCAAAGAAACGGCATGAGCACAACCTTTCGGAAGACAGCGCGGATTTCTCGGGTCGGCGCTGGACCCCCTTCTGTCGCGGGAAGCGCACCAAGGCCGCGCCGACACGAGAAATCCGTGCGGACCGCTCACAAAAAATGTTCATACCTTTCTTCGAAAAAGCGCCTTTCCCTCACGCTTGGGAAGGGGGGGGGGAGTTCGTTGCCCCTCCCCGGGGGGAAGGGGAGTTTCGGACCCCCTCCCCACCTGAGCGACGAAAAGAAACGGGCCTTACGCGGCCGCCAGCGCGGCACGCTGCATGGGGGACGAGGGCGCTTACGCGCGACCTTACGCGGGCAGCGTACGCGCCAACGTCGGCGCAGACGACCCCCATCTTGGGCGTCGCTCACCTGGCGCAAGAGGGGGAGGGCGGGCTCCAGACCCTCACCCCATGTCGTAATTGTGAGGGGGGGGGGCGATGCCCCCCAACCATACTCGCCGCCGGCAAACGACGACAACGACGACCTTCCCCCCCCCGGCCCTTGCGCCAGGATGGGGGTCTGGTTCCCGCTCTGCACCAGGGGGGGGGCGGGGGGGTTGATGGGGGAGGCCCCCCGGTTGCGGAGGGGGCCTCTGCAACTCTCGGCAATGGACAAACCTCCCTTTAGTAAACCTCCCCTGAGTGAAAACGGCCTAGGACCGAAACCGACGACGTGACCAGCAAAAAATGACGGCCGCAACGCGCTCACGCGAGTCGAAAACGGTCAATTCCTTAATCGACGTGTCAGGGTAGGAGGTCTATATATATATATATATATATATATATCAACCTCCGAAACTCTCTGGGGGAGGGGGGCCTCACGATTTCGACATCCCGGGAGGAGACTTTTCGGATGCGCGCTCTTTCCTTGTTTCCTCTGGGCCTTCAAGAACATGAGACCCTCCGCCAGCCCAAACTGAAGGACATTCGAGGGTGCCCTCCCCCAGGACGCCCAAGAACATCCAACAAACACGAAGAACACTAGGGTACCCTCCCCGAACCGACCTCGATCTCATACCTCGGTCCGATTCAAACTTGGGGCCCGGAAATCGCAACCTTTACTATAAAAAAGCTGTTCATCTCGAGTCGATCTGTCTGACGGTCCCAAGGCCGTACGAGGGCCCCCAACGCCGAGAGCGCAGAGAAAGCTCCGTGCTGATACTTCATCGATCTTGCCATCGCTCGGACGTCCATTCCCCGTGCATGTTTCGATGTCGCTTCGGTTTTTGTCGCAAGATGGTTCAGGATGTTCCTCGATGGTCCCCGCCGAGAGAAAAAATGCGCACGTCCGAGCGATGCCAAGCGATATGCTGTAGGGCAAAGTCTTCAGGCCAGCGGCCGCTCGGGGCGATCGGGAGGGACACCCCTGGAACGCTCTCAGCGAGACGCGGCTGCTGGAACGCACCCCGAGGTGGGAACACACACCTCCGGGAACCGCCAAAACCAGCTGAGAGCGCCGGGAAACGTCCAGCCCTGCGAGGTGGGGGAAGCATCGAGATCGAATCGGCGATGCGGCGCCGAAAAGATCGGCGATGGGCCCCCGACAGCGAATCCGAACCTTCCTGGGCGGGTCGGGCTCTCGGACCCCTACCGGCGATCACTGGGCGACGCGGGGTCGATGCATCCCCCTCGGAGCCCCAACGTTGCCCCTCACAGCGGCGGCGCTGCCGCCCATGCAGGATTCCTTCAAAGTTCGTTGCCACAGCCTACAGCAAGACACCCAATCCTGAGACTCGCCAGAACAAGCTTCTGGGGCCAGGATCGGCCTTCTTGCTAAACGGCCGGCTGCGAAGAAACGAAGGGTAGCTGAGACCGCCAACTCGCCAGCGTGCGCGCGGGTGCCCTGACATCAGGGCAAGATGACGAATAAATCGAAAACCCCACGCCGGGCTATTCGCCAGCGTGGCAGTGCGGGGCGCCGCGGCTCTAACTGACCCCCTCCTAGGGTCCATGCTGAGCCGTTCTTCGAAGCGGATCCAGCCGTGGCGACGGGAGGCCTCGGGGAGGCCCCAGCTGGCCATCGCTCGGGCGTCCATTCCCTGTGCTTTCTTCGGTTTCGTGCGTGTTTTTTCGCCAAGTGATCAAGGATGTTCCTCGATGGTCCTCGCCGAAGGAAAAAATACACACGTCCGAGCGATGCCAAGCCAGAAGGGAAGAAAAAAACACGTGGGAGGGCCGCCGCTGCCTCCGCCGGACCCCCCCTTGCCCCGAGATCCGACGTCACGACCAACTTGTGGCATCGCAGCAAAAACTCCACCGGAGCCCCGGACCCCATGCTTCTACGTCATCGTTCGAGCCGAAGAGACCCCAGGAGGGTTCTGGGGCCCGTGAAAAGACGACGTGATCGCCCGTGGCAAGAAAAAACGCGGCGCCAGGATCTCAGGGATGGCCCCCCCTGGGTAGCCTCGAGAACGCGGCCCGGAAGTCGACGCCGCCCAGGACGCCGTCGTACATGCACCAGGCAATCCCAAGGGGGGTCGCCACTTCCTCTAGGAAACGCCGTTCCCTCAAGGAATTGGGGCCCCCAGGATAACTCCAGAGCCCCCCGAACGGCCCCAAGCTTCCAGAGTTCTCATCGGGTTTCTCGATCCTGGAGCCTCGATTTGCAGGAGGAACGGGTGACCCTTGTTTCAGTTGGTTGGATCTCTTGGCTCCCGGGTCGTATTCCTTGGATCTCTGGCGTCCGATCGGGACGACTCTGGCATCCCCCAGAACGCTCCCGGCGAGGCGCGACTGCTGGGAGGCACCCCATGGCTGGAGTGCCGCCCAGAGCAGACGAACAAACTCCGAAAGCCGGACGTTGCTGGCTCGGACGTCCCTTGCTCTCTCCTCTGCGCACGGCCCCCCTCGTCATACCCTCCCCCCTCCTCCTCCCCCTCTTCTCACCCTGCCTCCTCTCCTCCTCCCTCCTCCCCCATCCTCCTCCTCCTCCTCCTCCTCCTCCTAATCCTCCTCCTCCTCCTCCTCCTCCTCCTCCTCCTCCTCCTCCTCCTCCTCCTCCTCCTCCTCCTCCTCCTCCTCCTCCTCCTCCCCCGTAGCCATTTTGGCTCAAGCCATTTTGGCTCAAGCCATTTTGGCTCAAGGCAGCTGGCCAGGTCAGCAATTTCCCAGACCGGCCTCCCAGGAGGCCACTCAGTGTCTTCGGCGCTCACACAGATTGCAGCCATGGCGTCCCGCTCGAAGCAGTTTAAGGACAGAACCATTCGTAAGCCTAGGAAGGCTCACAAAAAGTCCAAGAAGGACGAGAAAACGAAGAAGTCAAAGAGGGAGAAGGCTAGGAGGCCGTCAAATCCCAGAATGCCCGTGTCCCAATCGGAGCGCAAGCGCAAGGACTCTAGCTCAGAGTCCGAAGCCCATCCAGAGGTAACCAGCGAGGGCGATCGTTCGTTATCCAGAATGGAAGAACTCAAGCAGAATTTACAGTAGGCTCGCATCAAATCGTTGGCAGAGCAGCTCGACAATGCTAGGGACGAGTTCAAGAGGCTCAAGCAGACCAGGGGCTCGGAAGATCCAGCCCAGAACAGCAAGTCGGCAGAGACAGCAAAATGAGGGAAGAGCCCCTCAAATCAATGCCTAACATTGCAAGTAGTGAGCACGTTTTGGGAAATGACCTCAGGCTACGGAGCACATCAGCTTGGCTAGAAGGCCACTTGGCGTGAGCTATCAATGGTCACGGCATGTTCTTCTCAATGCGGTCGTATCTGCGCTTTTGATGTGGACTTCTCCATGCCTAATATCACTTCTAAGCCACCTTGCCGGCAGCACTGAAACAATTCGCTAGCATGCAATCGAATCAGGCACACTTAGCCAAGCACGGCTTCCCTCAGCTCACCCTCATCATCGTGACGGCCGCAGGCGCTAGAACGCGCAGCGTATAGCCATCATTGTCAAATGTTGTCCAGGCCCCTCGCTTTGTGCAAGCACTAGGATGTGCAGTTGCAAGTCATTTCAGGGACCATTCATACTTCTGTGAGGGTGAGCTTTACAGCGTCGTGTGCATATTTTCCTAGCAAATAAGGCACAAGTAATCTTGTAGGCCAGCAGGCAGGCAAGCGAAGTCTTGCAGCCTGAATCCTTCCAGTCCTCCCTCCTCCTCTTCAGCCCAGTTTATCTCCTTCTCTCCCACCAGACAGCGCATGGAATTGGCAGCCAGGGCTAGGTTGCAAAACTCTGCCCTCTCCTGGCGGGTCGTGCCATGGCAATGCCATGCCTGAAAGCCCGAACCTGCACGTTGGCGTCCAGGGGATGTTCTTGTCTGTGAGGGGAAAGGTTGGGTGGGCAGTCTTACTCTTTTCATCCCTTTTGGAGGGAAGGTCAGGTCTCGCTGTGGTCAGCCCATTAGAATGTGGGAAGTGAGTTACCCCAGCGCATAGCAGTTGATCTCCTTCCCCCTCCCTTTCTCCAACCTTCCTCCTCCTCCTCCTCCCCCCTCTGGGGCAGGGTTCGGTAGCCGAATCGGAACCGGCAGCGCCCAAGGCAATGGTCTGCGGGTCAGCTGCTGTCCGAGGAACGCGCCTGACTTTAGTTCACCCCGAAGCGAATGCCAAAAATGTCCTCCTCGTCCTCCTCCTCCTAATCCTCCTCCTCCTCCTCCTCCTCCTCCTCCTCCTCCTCCTCCTCCTACCCTTCTTTTTGTCATACTTTCTCATGCTCCTCCCTCCCCCCTAATGGTGACCCCCCTCGGCGCTGCCCGGATGTAGAAGGGCACCCGGAGGCCCGCGCGGGCGCCCTCCGCCCGGGCGATGACGGACTCGGCGTCTTCCTCCTCCTTGGGGGGAAGCCCTTCTGGAGAACACTTGCGGGGGAGGAGGGCAGAGGAGGAGGAGGAGGAGCAAGAGGACACACCAGAGCAAACCCAAGAGTCATCAGCGATGTTACCTCTCCGCAGGTCCCTACAAGGATTCATTTCCACTGAAAGAGATGCGCCGTTGGAAGACATCCGTCTGAACATCCTGAAACGTGCCAGAACACCGATCCTGGAACTTCAATGCCGCAAATTAGCGCTACTGCTGTGTCCTGACGATCCTGAATCCTGCCAGAACACAATCCATGGGACTTCAACACCGCGCATCAGCGTAACTGGTGCGCCCTTACAATCCCACATCGTGCCAAATCACCTTTTCTGGGACGTCAATCATAAGAAACCTTGAAACTGTTGAAAATTCTTGGAAGGAATGCACGCAACGCTAGGGCGAGAGCCAACTTTTGAAAACGGCCCGCCCTCCACCTGTGAAGTTCCTGCATTTCGGTAAAACGAAGATGCGCGGCGCTAGGGCGAGAAACACATTTTGAAAACGGCCCGCCCTCCATCTGTGCAATTCTTGCCTGCTTAAAAAATCAAGCGAGAGCCACATCTTGATAACTGCCGGTCCTCCATCCGTGACACCGTTGCGGGTTAAGCATCGTGCAGGGTGAAAAAAAACTCAAGCGAAACTCCCAGCCCGCCCTACTGGCACGTCTCGAGGTGCGACAGGGAGAAGTACTGATGAGGACAAGGGAAATAGGTGTTCGGATTCGAGGCTAAGGGCCGAGCAGGGTACAACTAAGCATCACGACGTCTGAAGCCCGTTCTTGAGCTGGACCTCCTCGTCTTGAACTGGATGCTGTAAAGAGCATCGCTTGTAGGGAAAAAAGCTTGTTTTCAGATAGCAAGACTTGATCAGACAGCTCCTGATGCCCACAATGGCCACAATCTCTTCGGTCGAATTGAACACCCAATCAACATTAACAAGACCAATTCCGTATAATACTACACGGAAAACAGCATTCATCTAAGCGACAGCCTCGCGACTATAATGCCATCACCTGACAGAGGCCTGGGACGTTGTTTCACAACAAATATGGTGTCCGCCACCGTGCCTGCGGCACGTGGAGGCGCGGAAGAATGCCAAGGGCTGCCTGGCAAGGTTTCTGTGATCTTCTACGAAACTCCCCCACCCCCCCAGTCACACTTCCCTGACTGCATCACCCCTATTACCGGGGGGGTCCTAGGCGGCCATAACGCCTCCCTGAGGCTCTCCAAGGATTCCATGACGGCCCAGGAGGCCCCAAGTCGGTCCAAGAGGGCCCGAGTTGCCGAACGATCGCTTGAAGACGACCAAGATGGCATCTGGATTACCCAAGAGGCCTCCAAGACGCCTCTATAGGAGGCCCCGAGGCCTCCAATAATTGAGAAAGCGCGATCCCCCCCTCTTCCTCTGGAACCCGGGGGTCCCCCCCCCTTCGAAAATCCCCCTCCCTGCTGGACCCCCCCCCTTCCCCCAGCAAAACCCCCCTTCCCTAACCCCTCCCCCCACCCCCTCCCGAAAACCGGGGGGGGGGTCATCGAACCCCCCCCCTCCTCAAGAAAACCGGGGGGGGTCACTACCGTTTCGACCCCCCCCCCTCCAGAAAACCGCAGGGGGGGGTCACTACCGGTTCGACCCCCCCCCACACACCGCCGGCAAACGACTGCCAGGTCCCCACCACCGTCCGCACCACATCCCACACTGCTGTCCCCAGCATCACTGTCTCCACCACCACTGTCCCCACTGTTCCCACCACCGTCCCCACTGTCCCCACCAGTGCCCCCACCACCGTCGCACTTTCCCCACTGTCCCACCACTGTTCCACCACGGTCCCACTCTCCCCACTTTCCCCACCACTGTCCCACTGCCCCCAGTCCCCACAGTCCCACTGCCCAACTGTCCCCGCCGCTGTCCCACTGAGCTGTCCCACTGTTCCCACCACTGTCCCCACTGTCCCCACCACTGTCCCCACTGTACCTCTGTCCCATGGTCCCACCACCGTCCTCGCCACCGCCCTCACCACTGTCCCCACCACCACTGTCCCCACCACCACTGTCCCCACCACTGTCCCACTGTCCCTACCACATTCCCACTGTCCCCCCACACCAATGTCCCCACCACCACCGTCCCCACCAGTGTCCCAGTCCCCACGACTGTCCCATTGTCCCCACTGTTCCCACCACTGTTCCCGCTGTTCCCACCAGTGCCCCCATCAGTGTCTCACTGTCCCCACTCTCCCCACTATTATCCTCACGGTCCCACTCTCCCCACTTTCCCCACGGTCCCCACTACTATCCCACTGTCCCCACTGTTCCCACCACTGTCCCGCTGTCCCCACTGCCCCCACCGCTGTCCCACTGTGCTGTGCCACTGTCCCCACTGCCCCCACCACTGTCCCACTGTCCCCGCTGTCCCCACCACTCACCCCACTGTACTACTGTCCCACCACCGTCCTCACCACCGCCTTCACCACTGTCCCCACCATTACGGTCCCCACCACTGTCCCACTGTCCCCACCACTATCCCGCTGTCCCCTCACCACTGTCCCCACCACCGCCGTCCCCACTACTGTCCGCACCACTGTCCCACTGTCCCCACACGACTGTCCCCACCACCACCTTCCCCAACACTGTCCCAGGTCCCAGTATCCCGACCACTCTCCAACTGTCCCGAGGAGCGGGAATCGTTTGCCAGCGGCGAGAGGGGGGGGGGCGGGTTCGAACCGGTAATGACCCCCCCCCTGGTTTTCGAAGGGGGTGGGGGTTCGAACTGGTAATGACCCTCCCCCCTTTTCATGATGGACTGGGGGGGGGGGTTCGAACAGGGAGTGACCCCCCCCGGTTTTCGAGGGTGGTGTGGGGGGGGGGGGACGGGTTGGGAACCCCCAGTGACCTCCCGCGGTGTTTCGCCAGCAGCGGTAGAGCACGCTCTTTCCAATAATTGAAGTCCCTTCGGTTTTTGACAGATTTGGGCGTTATCGTCTGTTCGGCTTTACGACGCTCCAAGACGGCCCAAGAGGGCCCCCAAGACCACCACAACGGCCCAAGAGGCATCCAAGAGGGCCCCAAGACGCCCTAAGAGCGCCCCAAGGCAGCCCAAGAGGCGCCCAAGACGGACCAAGAGGGCCCCAGGACGGTCCCAAAAGGAACCGAAGAGCGGGAACACGAACCGAAAGTCTGAGCCTTCCGCCCCAAGAGGCGTCCGAGAAGCCTCAAGAGGCTCGCAAGAAGCCCCCAAAAGACCCAAAAGAGGTAGCAAGAGACCCCAAAACGGCCCCCAAGAGGCCTCAAAAATGTCTCCAAGAGGCCCGCGAGAGGTCTCCCACGAGATCCCAACGAGCATCCAATAGGCTTCACACCCACAACCCAAGGCAATGGCGGGACTTGTCGGAGGCAATTGGATAACAGCATCATGGTCAGACTATGCATACGCATACACACACGCACACACATGTTCGTGCCGCTAGGCACTGAAATGTAGTGTCATCAGGTCCATCAAGGTGCTCTGTATCGAGCGATAGAGTACTCCAGATGACCTCAAAGGTGCCCTGACTCCCAACTCGCTGATTCCCTTTGGGCGTTTCGCGAGACTTTCGGGGCGGGTCGCGTGACTCCTGGGGTGTCGCGTGACTCTTCCTGATGCCAGGGAGTCCCAAGATGGGCCGAGAGAGCCCCAAGATTAAACCCCTGAGACGGTGCGGTTAAGGGGCCAATTTGGGAGGTGCTGGGGGCCAGACGAGGAAGTAAAAATCATGAAACAGCATATTACATGTTTGACATGTATGCATGCTATGACCTGCTTTCCGGCCGTAACAACGTCCAAGACTCGGGCCGGGCGAAAGAGGGGGATAGCAAAGGTTGGGTTTGAGAATCAGCTCACGTAGCTGATTTTCCCGGCGCCTCCCGGCGCCGGGAGGCGCCCATGTATCGAAGAATAGGCCCGGCGACGGGGCCGAAACCAGCTGCATGCAGCAGCTTTCGTAACCCCCCCTTTCCCTATCACCCCCTTTCGTTCGGCCCGAAAGACGGCCCCGCAGGCCCCACGCATCTCCCCAACTCGGCGGTGGACAGACCTCCCTTTAGCATAGCTCCCCTTAGTGAAAACGGCCTGGGACCGAAACCGACGGACCTGGACCCGCAAAAATGATGGCCGCGACGCCCTCACGCGAACCGAAAACGGCCAATTCCTGAATCGACGTGTCAGGGTAGGAGGTCTATTCAACTCCGACCCACACGGACCAACGCGAGGGGCCCAGGATGCCCCCACGACGGCCCTGGCCTACCCGGGGGGCATGCCGAGGCCAGCCGAGACTCCTCCGGACGAGCCCAAGGCGAGGACACCTTCTCGGGCGCGGACCGACTGGGAAGGCCTCTCTGAGCTCCGGCGGCCCTGGAGGATGCGGCCTTCTCGGAGCGTCCCTGGACGCTCTGGAGGGGATCCATCCTCGTTCCGGGACGCTCTGAGAGGTCTGGAGCGCGAGGGGGGCCAAGAGGCTGGCGACCCCTCCATGACGACGACAAACTGCGACGAGTCTCGCGGCTATGGCCGCGGACATGAGGGGGCGCGCGCATGACGAGGCTGCGCTGACCGTGGAAATTTGAGCGCGCTCTGGGAGCGTTCCGGGACGCTCTGGAGGGGATCCATCCTCGTCCCAGCCACGTTCGACTGCTCGGAAGGCCTGCGGAGGCCACCCGGACCTGAGGGGGGGGGGGGGCCCGTGCGCAGCCCGCAGCCTCACCAGCCCGCCCGAGCCCCCCCCCGCGGGGGCACTCCGCGAGCGCTGCGCGCCGCCCGGCGGGGCCCAACGGCAGCAGCAGCGCGGCCGCGGCACACACCGCCGCGCGCCGCGGCCGCGGCCCAGCGGGCCCCGGCCCAGCCTGATCGAACTTCGAGGGTCGAGGAAGGTGGCGAGATCTAACCTGAATCCGAATAAGGCGTCACTGCACTGGAACCCCCGTCTGCCCTCGAAAGCAGCGACAGCGTCGCAGTTCGCAGCCTTATAGGGTTGGCGAGGTCAGATCAGAATCCGCGTGGGACGTCACTCCGTTAGCACTAGCAGCCCTCGCATGTGGGGACGGTTTCGCCGTTCGCAGCCACCGAGACATGCGCAGATTTCTTAGCTCTGCGCTGAAACCATCTCCTCTGGCGCGCAAAACGCGCCAGGGAAGCCCTGGCCCAGTCCAAGAAATCCGCGCGAAGCTCCCAAAGCGTACGTTTGCGCAGCTGCTGTTCCTCGATCGATGAGCACAAATCCTGGGCCCAGGATAGAGGCCCCCGACGCCTTGTTTTTTCAGTCCACATAACGCCGACTCCCTAGATCCCCGCCCTTCCCCAGGACCAGCCTTCTATCCCGACTCGTTTGTTCACGGCCCCGCAGCTCGGCGCAAGCCCCTCGGAGGCCGAACATAAAAACAGCAACTCCCATGATGCCGAAAGGACTCGAGGGTGTTTGGGGATGGGGCTGACTAAGACCGCTGCCCGACGCACGCTTAGCGCATTCGATCCCTCACAGCCGGCCGCCGCATGCGCGCCGCGGCGCTTCCGCCATGAAGGTGCAGCCGGAAAATGTGGCCGCCGATGTCGTCGCCGCCGCCGCCGTCGACAACATCACCACCGCCCTCGCCGACGTCGCCGCCCGCGTCGTCGTAGACACCGCAGTCGCGGCCGTGGTCGTCGTCGTCGTCGTAGTCATCGCAATCGTCGTGATCGTCGTCGTCGTCGCAGTCGCCCCCGTCGCCGTCGTCGTCGTTGCCCACCCCAGCCGTCGCCGCCGCCGTCGCCGTCGCTATCGTCATCGGCGCCGCCGCCGTCGTCGTCGTCGTCGTCGTCGGGCCGAAATTCGACCCCTCAGGCGGCGGTTATGATCAGGACCCGACGGGGAGTCTAGTCTAGAGGATCATTGAAATCCATGCGTTCCCAGGCGGTGTATTTCTGAAGAACACGGACAGAATCCATAACAAATGCCAGAAAACAGAATGTTAGCCAGCGTGGACCCCAACCCAAATGTTTTGGAACATGTTTGTAGTGTCTTCTACGTTGTGCAAATCACCCCGCCGATGTTAAAATTGTCGAGTCCACTGCTCGCGCACACATCCCACCCTCCCACCCGCAACCTGGTTCGCAAAACCCGTGCGGAGGCGATTGCGATGAGTGCTTGGTGGTGGCTGGTGCATTACTGCGGCCGCGCTAGCCCGCGCATGCTCGCGCGCGCAGCGGCCAGCTAGCTTGGCTCGACCGACGCGAACGCGGTATCATGGCAACGTCGACAACGGTAGACACGATGATGATAGCAACGATACTGGTGACGAGGTTGACAACGGCGACAGCACGGCCAGTGACAGCGCCGATGCTGATCACGCCGACGACGATGACGGCGTCCTCGCGTCGGTGGTGAAGGTGTTGGAAAGACTTCGACATGCGCGCGGCCGACGCGCGAGACTGGCCCACATGGTAGTGTTTGACACGGATCTTGCCCCCCAGCACGCGCGCAAGGGCGTCCGAATGCTCTCGGCATGCGCCGCTAAAGGTCCGTTTGGCAGAATCCCACGAACATGAGAAAAAAAAAAAAAAAAAAAAAAAAAAAAAAAAAAAAAAAAAAAAAAAAAAAAAAAAAAAAAAAAAAAAAAAAAAAAAAAAAAAACACGATGGTGTCTAGGATTCGCAAGGGCGCGAGCGCACGCTTCTTTGAAAACGGATGTTGCGAAACCCTGTGTTCTTTAGTGGTGTCGCGACACTCGGTTTTGAAATCTTTACGACACGTGCGGTTTCTGCATGATTCTGGCATGCGCGCGCGACGACGGCGCGCGCACGTTGCCCAATTTGTTGCAAGGGATTCTCGCGAAAGCACGTGCGCAAGGGCGTTCGAGAAAAGAAAAAATCAACATGCGCAAGCCCGCTTGGTAACATTCCATGAACATGTTGAAACCCCTACGGCTTCCTCGCGACGCAAGAACGCGCGCACATGGTGTTTGAACATCCGAGTTGCAAAACCATGTGTTGTTATATGTGTTTGGGCGCTCGGTTTAAAATTCCTCAAGGGGCGCATGGATTTTGAAGGATTTCGGCATGCGCGCGCGGCGACGCGCGCGCGCACTTCGCCCCTTCACTGTCGCAAGAGATTGTTGTAAACACATGTATTTTTTGATAAGCCAGCGCGCGCGCATAGCACCCTCTGCAGAAGATGGCACGGGGGGGCGATACCAGTTGGGCTGGGATGGTATGGATTCATATTTCGCATGGGCGGTGGGGCAGAATCATACAGAAATTGCAAGTCGAACAAGGGCACCGATCATCCAAAGGGGGGGGGGGGCGAATCTTTTCTCACTTTTAGAACATAGAACCTCTACTCATTTCTGTTCGCAAAGAGTTGTCAACCCCGCTGCTCGCGCAATCGCCCCGCCCGCCCGCCCACAACTTGATTCGCAAAACCCATGCGGCGGCAATTGCGATGGGCGCGTGGCGTTGGCTGGCGCATCTCCGCGGCCGCGCTAACCCGCGCATGCTCGCGCGCGCAGCGGCCAGCGAGTCTGGCGCGATCGACGCGGCCGCGGCGGCGCTGGACGCGCCCCAGCGGGCGCTCCGCTGCGAGTCGGCGACAAGGGCGGGCGCGGCACCACGACAGCATCGACAACGGTAGACGCGACGAGGATGGCAGCGGCGCCAGCGACGATGATGACGGCGGCGACGGCGTGGCCAGCGACGGCGAAAATGCCGATCACGCCAGCGACGACGTCGGCGCCCTCGCGTCGGCGACGAAGATCTCGGAAGGAGTTCCACGCGCGCGCGGGCTACGCGCGAGAGAGGCCCGCATCGCATTTTCCGACGCGGTTCGCGCCGCGCCCCCCTCCCAAGCACGGGCGCAAGGGCGCTCGAATGATTTCGGCGCGCGGCGCGACGCGCCCGCTTGGCAGGTTTCCATGGGCACGCGCGTTGGCGCGCGAACACATATATATATAGAGAGAGAGAGATAGACATAGTATTTGAAGAATTCGCAAGAGCGCAAGCGCAAGCTCTTTGGAAAACGCTGTTGCGAAGCAATGTTTCTAAACGTGTCCTGGACGCACGATCTTGAAATCCTCGCGAAACCCCCCGTCTTCGACCCAGCACGCGCGCGCCAGGACGCGGGCGCGCACTGCGCCGCTTTGTTCGGCAAGGGTTCTCGCGACAGCGCGCGCGCAAGGGCGCTCAAACGACTTCGACGCGCGCGCGAATTCCGCCTGGCGGCGCGCTATGAAAACGTCGCGAAAACAATTACATATGTAGAAGTAATTAGAAGAGCGCGCGCAAGCTTGACGTGAACATCAGCGTTGTGAAACCCTTTTTTGTTTATATGTTCACTGGGCGCTCGCACGAGCGCGCGACGACGCGCGCGCGCGAACTTCGCCTCATCTTCTGCAGGGGATTCCGGAGAACTGATGACTTGTGATAAAACGAATGCGCGCGCATAATATTCTCGACCTAAGGGTCGATACCGGCTGGGCCGGGATGGCGCGAATTCGCACGTAGGATGGACAGTGGGGAAACATGATCTGCCACTTGAAACGCGAGAAGGCGCGCCGACAATCCGGAGGGGAGTAGAATCCATCTTCTTCTAGAGAGGAGAATCTACCAGGTGCAACTGGATTTTACAGACGAACTGCCACGTGCCGTGGCTCTAAAGACACCCCACCCACCCACCCGCAACTTGGCTTGCATAACCCAGGCGGTGGCGATTGCGATGAAATCTCGGCTTTGGCTGGCGCATCCCTGCGGCCGCGCCGACCCAAGCGCGCGCGCTGCGGCCGGCTGGTTTGGCGCGACCGACGCGGCCGCGGCGGCGCTGACCGCTGGGCGCGCCCACGCGGGCACTTCAGTGCAAGTCGGCGACTTGGGCGGGCGCTACATCGCGGCAACGTCGACCACCGTAGACGCGACGGTGATAATCGCGATACTGGTGACGAGGTGGGCAACGACGACGGCGCGGCCAGCGCTGGCGCCGACGCCGATCGCGCCGACGACGACGACGGCGCCCCCGCGTCGGCGGCGAAGGTTTTCGACAGAGTTCGACACGCGCGCGCGGCCGACGCGCGAGAGAGGCCCGCGCGGCGTTATTTGACGCGGATCGCGCCCACCAAAGCACGCGCGCGAAGGCGCGCGGATGATTTTGGCGCGCGGCGCCAGGAGCCCGCATGGCAGAATTCCTCGACAAGGTTGAAAATCCGCTGGTTTTCTTGAGAATTCGCAAGAGCACGAGCGCGCGATATTTTGAAAACTGGCGCTGCGAAAATCTGCGGTATCAAATATATTTGCGTTTTGGACGCTCGGCTTCGACATCCCAACGAAACCAAGCGTTTTTTGACGGATGTCGGTACGCGCGCCCGACGACGCGCGCGCGCACTTCGTCACAGTTTGTTCACAGGGTTCTCGCGATGGCGCGCGCGCAAGGGCGCTCGAACGATTTCGACATACACGCGCGAAACCCGAATTGCATCATTTTCTAGAACATATAAAACCTGTTGTTTTCTGAAAATTCGCAAGAACGCGCGCGAGAGCTTGTTTTTGTTTTGAAAACCCGTGTTGCGGAACCATGTGGTATTTTTTTGGTTGGGAGGACACTCGATGTTGACGTCCTTACGAAACTGTCGGTTTTGAACAGTGTCGGCACACGCGCGCGCTGCAATTCGCGCGCATGCACTTCGCCGATTGCTTAGCAGGGGATTCTCGAAAACTGCTGATGTTTGAACAACGAGCGCGCGCATGGCATTTTCTGCGTGGGCTGGCGGGGGGGGGGGGGGCACTGGCTAGGCTGGGATGTTATGAGTTCAAATTTAGGATGGGCGATGAGGCAGAACTATACGCAATTTGCAATGCGAAACAGGAAACGAATAATCCCAGGCGGGGGGGGAGTTATTCCCCCATACAACCGAACTTGAAACTGTCAACTCCACTGCCCGCGCAAACATCCAACCCGCCCACCCGCAACTCGCTTTGCACGTCCCACGCGGCGGCGATTGCCATGAGTGTTCGGCTTTGGCTGGCGCGCCCCTGCGGCCGCGCCGACCCGGGCACTCGCGCGCTGCGGCCGCCCAGTTTGGCGAGACCGATGCGGCCGCGGTGGCGCTGGCCGCTGGGCGCGTCCAAGCGGGCGCAAGTCGGCGACTTGGGCGGGCGCGGCACCGTGGCAACTCCGACAGAGGTAGGCACGACGACGACGGTAGGCTTGCTGGCGACGACGTCGACAACGACGACGGCGCGGCCAGCGCGGGCGCCGACGCCGATCGCGCCGACGACGACGACGGGCCCTCGCGTCGGCGATGGAGTTCGACGCGCTCGCGCGGCCGACGCGCGCGAGAGGCCCGCGCGGGCGCGCGAGTGACTTCGGCGCGCGGCGCCAGAGGCCCATCTCGCAAAATGCACTGAAAAGGTTGAACATCCTCCGATTATTATCGGAAAACTGGCACTGCGAAGAACTAGGAAGTTGTTGTATGTTTTTGGGCACTCGGAAGTAAAATCCCTGCGAAGCCGCAAGTGTTTGGAAGATTTCGGCACGTGGGCGCGACGACGAGCGCGCGCGCACTGTGCCTCATTTTTTTGAAGCAGGGTTCTCACGACGGCGCGCGCGCAAGGGCGTTCGCGC